GTCTTGATCCTGAAGCTTGGGTGGATCACCCCCCTGATCCTCGGAAACCGCAAGAGGAAAAACCATATCCCCTATCGGAAGTTCCATGCGCTTGACCCGAATGATTCTCAGGTCGTCATTGTCAATTGCATCTTGGCTACCCTTTAAGGGAGCTACGAGGTATTCCTGTCTCCAAATGAAGCCAGGTTGAATGTGGTATCCTAAGAAGATACCGTCTTCGGCCTTTGGGTCGAACTTAGATGCATTTGTGATGTTCTCTTTGGGATTGTTCCAATAGAGAACCTTGGCACCAAAAGGAATGAGCTTACCGCTAAACCCTTCACCGAACCTTTCGTCCCATGGGATCTTCGCGGTGTCCATCCTTTTGGACAAGTTTAGAGCCATAGTGTGATGTTGAGCAGCTAAGGGCCAGAGCTTCGTTGGAAGTCCTGCCTGCAGCAAGTTCGCCCGTGTGCCCTCGAGCACAGTTCGAATCTCTCTCTCAACAACAGACTTGCTTTCATCGACGTAAGGTCGTGAGGTGTTGTGACGAACTTTGTATTTTCCAGTAGCATTCTTGAGTTCGGGGGCGTTGTCAGAGTAAATGATACCTGGTTCATCATCTACAGCGAAGTAGTGCAACAGGCAATCATAAACCTCTTCCGACTCCTTCGTACCTGCAGGGTACACATAACGAAAGTTAGTGAACACGTCCTTAACCACAAGAGCAACTTTCTCACCTTCGATCCCAAAATCACGCAAGTCCTTGGTCACAATGTGATCAATCGTCACGTGGTCTCCGAACTTCTTCGAAAAGATAGTGGAGCTCCCCCCTCGCTTTCTGGCATGTGGCGCTAGCATTTTGGCCTTTTGGCATACCTTGCAGAAAGGGTTCTTAGGACGGTGGGTGAATTTGTGCTCCGGGCTATTGGCCTGCAGCTTGAGCTGGGCTGAACGTTTTTCGTCCTTTGGGTCAGCTTCAGCTTCTCTTTCGCTGTCAGGCTCCGGCTCGGGGTCATCAACAGGTCTTTTAAAGATCGTTACACTGAGAATGCAGGCATCAGAGGGGAGCTTGGCTACCCGATTGTCCAACGTCCTTACATCCACGTCTTTTTCGATCTCCTGCCATTTCTTGACATAAGTCCAAGTACTCCGGATGACGTGCTTTGGAAACCTTGTAGCAGGCGTTCTAAAGGTTTTGGGAAAGTGCCCCACGATCATCTGTGGAAAGGAAGGATGCGAAACCCAACCTGGTTTGTTCAAGTACTCCGCCTTTATGCCTAACGGAGCAGCCTCTTTCAGTGCTTTTTCGATCCTGGGGTCGAGGCCACTGCCCGAGGATTGGCTCGGATTCTGCTGCATTGGCGTGCCTTATTAGGCCGCTGAACGGGGAAAACCCGATGTTGCCTGGATGACTGGCGAATGAGCCGCTTTCTCATCCTTGGCGGGAACGGCGATTGTACCATCCCCAATTACCGGGACTCGCCCGCGCAGCTTGCAGTAAAGTTTCCGGCCTTCGGGTGTCACGAAGTAAGGCGTCTTCCCTGCGTACCAATGGAAATCGAAGCCCTCATCCATGCATCTCCTACCAACAGAGCACACCGGCGGCGTTGAATCTAGCACGTAGCATTCGAGGATTTTGTTGATTTCAGGGACCTCTAGCTTAACGGCTTCGTTACCTTTTACCGGCCCGTTGGCGGTGATCAAAGAAACAGGACGTGAGGCAGGTTCAATAGGTACGTCGGGGAAGTGAGTTCTGCAGTCCGACTTGCTGATGAGGTCCTCTTCACTTCCGGTATCCGCTAGGAATTCTAAGCCGGGGACCAGACCTGCACATGACGGACGTGCAAGTCGCTCGCACTCCTCGCAGAGGAAGCCTTCCTCCATGCATTCATACCCGCATCCCGCAGGCGTTTCGTGAGTCATGCATTCGATCATGGTGGCAAACTGCTTTGCCCACACAAGAGCCCTTTTCAGATCCTTAGGATTCGAGCGTGGACATGCCTCGACAGTGGGATAGACTTCATCATAAACCCTGGGAAGGTAGGCATGCTTTCTCTGCTTTCCTTCCGGTTCGATGGCAATCATTTCTACGGTGCTGTCGAAACTCACCTTAGGGAGTTCTTGCATGTAGAAGATCGTCTTACCTACCCATGTGCTGCCGGGTCCTTTGGTTGGGGTCTTCCTCCAGTTGTAGATCTTATTTCCCACGAAAGGGGAGACCGGCAAAACCTGCTCGAGCTTAGCTTGGCTCCTAAGCTTCTTGGGGTTCACTGGACATGAATTGTCAGGAACATACCAATCCGTTCGGTACTTCTTGTGGTGGCGGATGATTTTGTTGCCGGTGAAGTCTACCTCCCAGTAGTCCTCGTCATGTGACGCTGCCATAGCGAGCTTTGGCGAGATCTCAAGATCCGCTGTATTCTCGAACGCGATGGCGCATGCGGCCGTCTTTGGGGCCTTGTCACTTGACTTAGCCCTGGGGCTTCTCCCTCTGCGCGGAGCAGGAGAGTTGGCCCTGGGTGACCCTGGCTTTGGAGCTGCCGGGGCTGCTTCGGACTTAGGTGCTGGAGCTGAGGGCTTCTCTATGTCCTTATGCTGGAACCGACATTTATCACCCTTGTTGCAGTTGCCTTCTTTCCAGAACTTACATGTCACGTTGATTTTCTTCTTGGGTTTGTCGCCTTTGGGGGACAATGATCTCTTCTTGTGAAGGAAAGGGCAGTTATTGCCTCGCTTGCAAGTTCCTTTGAGGTAATCATAGCATACTCCCTTTGGGCTAGGTGTCCTAGGCTTGCTGGGAGACTGGGATCTACCTTTGCTGGGTGATCTTGGCCTTGGGCTCTGCGATCTGCCACGGCCTCCTCTTGAAGAGGGGCTGGAAGTTCGGCCCGGAGACTTTGAGGCAGGGGCACCGTACTTATCTCCGTGAGATCTTGCGATGCGGTCACGGTTCTTGCGTTTGCGCTCTCGGGTCAAAAGATCCTTAAGTGACTTCACAAGAAACTTGTACGTGTGCTGATCCGTGCCCTCTGCTGCCCTGTCGTAAATCTCAAGATCGTACTTTAGTCTCTTGGACTGCCTGAGTTCACGAAGGAAAATGTCTCTTAGGGTCGTTTCGTCCGGTGTGTGGCTGAGCCCAGACATGACAGATTCCCAGTTGCTAATGAACACTGAAAGGTCGTCATTGATTAACCTTACTTTCAGCAGGTCCTCCACGGAGTACAGTGATCCAACCTCCTCGTTCGTCTTGAAGTACTGATCGAAGAGGTAGAGCACCTGTCGTCCTCGTACCGCCCTGAATTTCGCCGCTTCTGTCTCCTTAAAAATGAGGATTTCTCGGGAGAGTTCTCCCCTAGCGACTTTGGTGAGTGCAGCAAGAAGTTTCGTGTCAAGGGTGAGGAATTTCTCGGGGTCTCGAAGGGATTCCTGCGATGCGTCTTTGTCGTAGGCCTTCATCACCCATTTAAACGCCTCATCAGGTGAATCTGATGCTGCCCTGACCGCTTCCCTAGCTGCCGTTTTCCACGAACGATACGACTCTGGACTTGGAAACTCCGGAAGGCTGATAGACTCTGCTTCTTTCACTTTGGGTTTGTCAGCATCGGTTTTGCTCTCACCCCTTATGTTTCTTAGGCTTTGAAGAATTGCCATTTGGGTCTCTAGGAGACCTGTGTTGAAAGCATCCGTCCCTGGCGTGCCGGAATCGGCCGCTGGAGGGGCCGCTGTTCCTGGCGCTGCCTGGGAAGGTCCTGCCTTGGGGATTGAAGATGCTGTTGCAGACGGAATGGACTGAGCATTCAAACCTCCTGGATTCATTGACTCGAACAGACATCTGGCGCCTTGGGGGATAACGTTCGGCATTGAGAACATGGGCGCTTGAGGAGCTTTGGGGACGACAGAAGGACCTGCAGGGGTACTTGGAGCAGGCACTGGCTGACTCTTTGGAGTAGCTGGATTGTACTGATCCAAGACCTTCTCTAGTGCAGTTTCCGCAGAATCCAACTTGTCCTGAAGCTCTTCATTCTGTTCCCTACATACAGCAAGGGACGCCTCATACTCTTCTTTCTGCCTGTTCCTAAACAACTCAAAGTGTGCTTGGAACTGTTCAACCATGACTTCCTGGGAATTCTCGATGTGCCGTCTCGCCTGTTCTTCGAGGTTCTGTGCAAAGCGTGATTCCGCCAAATGTTGATCCAATGCGTCTGTGATTCGGCTGTTTTGAAGTTCCGCTAACTCTTGACGCAACCTTTGATCTTCGTCATAGGAATGCGCTTGACTCAAAGTCATTTCCGACAACAGGAGCCTTTCACGATTTGCCGCCTTGAACTCGCTTTGTGCCAAGGCTGCTTGCAGTTCTGCTACCACTTCAAGGTGGTTTCGTTCTGCTCTGTGCTCCAAGTCGGCTGTGTGAATTGCGGATGCTTCTTGATAGGTCAGCATGTGTTGCCTGTGTCTTGCTTCTGCCTGAGCCTCTAGTTCTCCGACTTCCAGTCTGATCTGGTTAACGTGTACTTCAACACTATACTGTGGTGCGAAGACGTTGAATTGTTGGACTGAGGCTGGTGCCGGGAAAACTAAGCCGGGGGCGCCGCTCCCTGTATGGCCACCCGTGACCGGGGGCTGTAAAGGGTTCACGGTGCTTGTAACTGTATCCATACTTGCAGGAATAAGTTCCGGTTCGCTCATGCGCTGATTGATTGTATTGTAACCAACCAGTTGTGACCAGGCCGTAGGCTATACGGCTGATAACCTATAGTTGTTGTAAACCACTGCACACACGCACTGTTGTATATGTCCGTCCAAGTGATAACAAGCAGCTTGTACCATGCGGTAACTACGCACCTTTTCCTGTTAGAGCACTTGTGCCACAACGCCGTACACACAACATGCTACTTCACACGTGCACAAATTACAAAACCTGAGCCGCAAAATACTGAATCGAATCTCACAAACTGCACATCCCATATCCCCAAGTCCCCCTACACCCCCAAAGCTCGAATCCTAAAGTAGAGCATGTCCTGCAGCACCATCTGGAACCTCTCACAATCGATTGGACAGGGGGTTGGAGCTTCCACGGTTGGGGTGCAAGGCTTCACAGCTTACGGGTTTAAGGACTTAGGGTTTCGGTTTAGGGTTTGGGGATGTGGTTGAGCTTTCAAGCTTCATTGTTCAAAGCTTAGGTGTGACTCGAGGTTTAGGGGTTCAGAGTGCTGAAAGGATGTATCTGTATATGGCTCAAGCTTTCGGACCTAAACCCTAAACCCTAGACTCTGAGATCGTAAACCACTCTCCTGGATGATCCAATGTGTAAACCCCAGCGGCGCATCCTCGGCCCTGTTTTCGCGCAACTGGGTCGGGCACAAAGGGTTGGTTGTTAGTGCTGGTTTATGTGGATGAGCCTGACAGTTCTTCATGCATACTCTGGAATGTCCTTGCCTGAGGCAGGGTTTTCATTGCAACCCCAAACTTACACTCATTGAAACTCTAACGAGCCTTGCGCACGTTCACCAACATTGCCACTACTAACTCTACTTCTTGTGGTCTTATTGATACTGACTTCTCGGTCTCAGTGCACATTTTATATATTGCCTTGGAGCTGTGAGGGTCATTACTTCGGGGCCCTCCTGTTGGGGCTTGCGGCTTCTCGAACTAAAGGTTAACCTTTTTGGGTATATAGGGATTAGGGACTATACTACCCAGAAAAGGTTAAAGGTTGTCTACTCTACTACTAGGTAATAGTCTGAAGCGGTTCTTGGGGGATGGCTTGCAGTCTACCGAAAAAGGAGCATTGTCAAAGGCTGGGCACACCAACCCTAACTCTGGGTGGTGCTGCATTGTAGCCTCCAGCTGATTGGGCTAGTACATCCATGTCCCGCCTACACGCAGCATACTATTCCGAGGTCCTATTATAGCCACCCCCCCTCCCCACTCTGCAAGCAGCGTGAAAGTCCAAAAAATGAAAAATAAGAATCATAATGGTGGCAATCGTAGAAGTCGTAGTAATCGTTGCAGCAGCAGCAGCAGCACGAGTAGTAGTAGTAGTAGCAGTAGTAGTAGTAGTAGTAGGAGTAGTAGTAGTAGTAGTAGTAGTAGTAGTAGTAGTAGTAGTAGTAGTAGTCGGCGTCGTCGTAGTAGTAGTGGTACTAGAAAAACCCATGGAACCCTTACAAATCCAAGAAAAAGAATATGACCACAGCTCTGAGACAATAATCGGCCTGTCTGTGCTGCAAGCGCAGGTTGTACCGCAGGCGCACATTGATGTCTTGATGATCGACGTCCTCACGACCAATCTCCCGGCGGAGCTTGTCGAACTCTTCGGGATCGAGGCCTGTAGAGACTCCAAAACCCCGTTGGGATGTACCGTCAATTCTAGGGGAGGTCTTTAAGGTCTTTCCTTAACTCACGGGAGTTTGAAGTCTCTGGCCGCGGGGGGGTCTCTAGCCTGGTGCTCTTCATGATGTCAGAGCATGATCTCTGGTAGTGGGCGATCACCCTCTGGAAATGCCAGCTTTGCGGGCTTTCGGAACCCGGGTTTGGGGTCCAGGTGTAGGAGCTTGAATGCTTGGGGATGCAAGGTGAGCAATAACGGCTGGGTTTGGGGTTTAGGATTCAGGCGTGTTCAGACTTTGATGTTCCCAGTGCAAAACATGTGCAGCGTACCGTTACGAATACCGAGGATTTGACATCCACAGACTCTTTGCTCTGCTACCATATCAACGTCTCGCTTAGGTTCTCCTACCGAGAACATGACAATCACGACGATTGCAAGGACGAAAGCAAAAACCCGAAAACCACAGCCCCTTTCTCCCTCCTCTTTAAACCCACTTCAAATCCTGACCTTAAAGCTTTTCTGCTTGTCCAGGCGCAATTAACTCGCGAGGGAAAAGCTTCCTTCCGCACAAGGTCCCACGATCGAAGACCTCCGATGCAGGGCTTGCCTGTACGAATCACTCCCAGGTAGCTCCTTTTTTGTTGGCCATCTCTCGAAATCTTTATCATCAGGCCCATTCCACTAATACCCTGGACCCTAAGAAAAGAACTGGTGAACTGGATGAGAGAGACGTTGGTGCCGAAGTAGATACACAATGTACGGGGACACTAAATCAGTGTAAGTTGCAAAAGCAACAGCGGCATTCTGCGTGGATGTTCGTGTAACCATCAAGGTCCCTAATAACTCATAATATATGTTTTTGTTGTATGACTGAGCCCTGGAACTACCGAAGGGGAGCACTTACGGCTCAAGGCCCGGAAAACCATTTTTCCAGCTATGTACGCATGTGTACACACAGAGATATGCGCTAATATATGTATACATATATCAATGAATGCAATATGTATGTATGTATGTGTGTCGCCGGTTACAATGCATCGCATGCCTCCTGCAGGACACGCCTGCGGCGGGACTCTGGAGATACTTGACTTTCGGCGAAAAAGTGCACCGAGCCAAGCGGGAAGAAAGCTACCGCAGTGTGCCCGCGAGTGCCTCAGGGGCAATTGATCCAACTCCTGCCTTTAACGTATGGACCCTACAGTGCTACCCCACATTTGGGGGGAACACAAGCCCACAAACCTGGATCTCAGAGGGGGGGCATGTAATCAATGCCAAAATACTCCATACTCCATACATCGCCGGATACCCTTTGCTCAAGGATGTATCCGTAGGTAAGCAATCGGGCTCTCCGTGATTGGGAGATCCCTACATCAGAATCAGAAGCACCCCTACCCAAAGAAGCACCAAGCTGAGGATGTACCCAACACAGAATTCGGGGTTAAGACGTGCTGGATTGGAGACAAGCATTGAACACTCTTGTGACTCTTGTGGGTCTACCAAGAGCTATACTCATCTCGTGCTAGGAGCTCTGGGCTTTGGGTTCAGGGTTCGCCCTCTGCAACACTATCCCTAAAGGTCTATTGTATACTCAACAGGGATGTACTGGTGCCTTATAAGGACTGTTGGACTACTTGAACGCTACGGGCCCCTGAACCCGAACCTTAAACCCTGAGCTCAAATGCTGAACCGGATGATTGCACCAAAACCGGAAAAAACTCTGAAATACGTGCGGACAGTGGTCTGAAATGACGCACTGGGTACGTCTAGAATCCCCACATGTTCCGCCTTGCTCGTCAATTCCAGGCACTGCGTTCGGTAAAAGCCTGGTTGGCGTGAGGGTCGAACTCTGAACAACACGCTGAAGCCTACACCTCGACACTTGGCTCAGGGTTTAGGGTTTAGGGTTCAAGGTCCGGGAGGCCCATTACAGTGTTTGGAGTCGAAAGTCCTGAATCCATACCCTTCAAACCCTCAGGGCAACAGTGACACCTACAACCCCAATCCAAAGCGCGACGGTTCAGGTCGGAGATTGAGTTTGCGGTTTGATCAGCTCAAACATGCCTCTGGCTAGGCACCCTGTATGTCTATGTGTATATGTGTATATGTGTATGTGTGTAAATGTATATGCATATGCATGTGTATAAATAAGGATAGGCGAACTGTTGACATCTGTAGTAAATCTGCAAACCTACATCATGAAAAATCTGCAAAAGACTCCATGGTAAAGTCTGGGAAGACCTACCCATGGAATTGAAACACAGCAGGTTAGAAGTCAAGTCTGGCATACTATGATCGTGTAGGATCGCATCGTAAAGTCTGATTATTATGAACAACTACGCTGTAACACCAGGATTGTGTTCCACAGTATGCATGCTGCCGGGCGTTAGACCCCTTACCTGGGTGGTTGTCAAAATCATGGTCCCTTGTTGGGTACACTAAATTAGGTGCCGTACTATACTAAGGACCCAAAAAGGGGACCATAATTTTGACAACCACCCACCTCTTCAATAAGCCTCTGTTGGGGAAGCATGCTGAAATCAGGCTTCTGCTTGACTGCACATCCACAAAGTCCAGCTGGCCGAAGCCTTCGACCCTACGTGCTAGGCCTCAACCCCATTAGAGCTAAATGAAAAAACCCGAAATCTTACAGCCCAAACAGAATGCGACTGCGACGGCCTTCACAGGAAACTCTGGGAGGGTCTGACCCTGCATTTACTAGAATATTGACGATACAATGCCACCGGAGATCTGCAAACAGCACACCGGCCAGGACCGGGAAACCACCAGGAGACCGACAGCCAGGAAACCAGCAAGAGACCAGCACGAGAGCGGGAGACGACGAAGACGAAGAGAACGCCCAGAAGAGCACCAACAGAGTTTCGCCAGGAACACCCTACATGCATTGCCCCCAAGTTCTGACGGAATCGGATCCGCACTCGGAGTGCTTTCCCAAGTACCGGCGGTATTCAGAAACATTCCGAAGCATGGAGGAACCGCTTGCCAGGCACTGGGCACTGGCACCTCCAGGACCAGCACCAAAGCAAATACTGGGGCGACGATGTTTAGGCTTACTCGTCTTAGCTTGCGGGGTCCAAAGGAACAACCGGATCAATCGTTTCACGCTAGTATGCTGTGCCAAGGTTTTCGAGAGCCAAACGCGGTCCTGGCTGCCTGGCTCCGCGGCAGGCGCAGCAAGCACTAATGTAGGAACCTGATAAAGAAACCTTTCTTAGGCGTCTCTCTATATGAATCCTACTATTTTGGGGTTATAAGCCCAGGGTTTCCCAGCCAGGTTGCTCCATTAATTACTGGGATGCGGGGACCACATTTGCACGTGGGGGCGCCAATCTTCCGGCGTAAGCATCATCAATTCTGATTCTCTTGAGTTTGAGCGCAAGCCCCATAGTGCTACCACACTGAAAGTCTACTACATTGCGCCTGTGTACTACAGTTAAGGGGTAATTGCCAGTAGAAGAAGTCGAAGTAGTACAGTAGTCGTAGTCTTAGTACTAGTACTAGTAGTAGCAATAGCAGCAGCAGTAGCAGTAGCAGTAGCAGTAGCAGTAGCAGTAGCAGTAGCAGTAGCAGTAGTAGTAGTAGTAGTAGTAGTAGTAGTAGTAGTAGTAGTTGTCGTTGTCGTATAGTAGTAGTAGTAGTAGCAGCAGCAGCAGGAGTAGTAGTAGTAGTAGTAGTAGTAGTAGTAGTAGTAGTAGTAGTAGTTGTAGTAGTAGTAGTAGTAATCGTAGTGGTAGTGGTAGTGGTACTGGTAGTGGTAGTGGTAGTGGTAGTAGCAGTAGTAGCAGCAGTAGTAGTAGTAGTAGTAGTAGTAGCAGTAGTAGTAGTAGTAAAGCGCCACGAGCGGCTCAGATCAGAGGGGTTCATGGCCGATGCTGACGCTGCACTGCTCTGCTGTCGTATATACGCAGAAGAGCTACTCACTGAGCTTCTCATCATTGAAGGAGCGAAACTGACGCAGCGCCATTACGCAATTCGGCTTACGCGAGCCTATTGGGGCAATACTTCCATAGAAAACTTCTTGACTGATTTGGCGTACATGCTACCTCCTCACGAGTATCGGCTGGTGCTTGCGAAGCTATCAGTGGAATATCCAAAGGTGGTCATCAACAAGCAGCTTTAGGCACACACAAGTCAGTCCTGTTTGCTCCATATGGGTTTTCAGATCTTCACGGGTCTCGCGACAACCCCGCTACATCCGGCTCTCTTCACCGCTGAACCGCAAGCATTCCTTCCTGAAGCTCGCTTTTTGGAGGATGACATTGCAGCAGCTACGGCAGAGAGCTATAGCTCGGTACGGTCCCAAGTCCGCACACGGACACTACAAAACGGCCTAAAAGGAGGTCATGCGCAGTCCGTTGGCGCAAGGGTTGGCACTGGCCCCTCAGAGGTGCCTGAAGCTTCGGCGAAGAATGAGGGACAATTGCCCAAGCAACATCTGCCGGCATCAGTGCGTGTCAGAAAACGCACGTACAGAAGAGCCCTGAGACGTGCAGCCAGAGACGGCTATGCATGGTACCGTGGTCGATATATCCATGTGAATCAGTACTCTCTTCCAGTTCCTGTTACACCCAAGATAGAGAAGGAGTAGAGATCCCAATCGAGACTGCATGTCATGAGCTGGAATTGCTCCGGCTTGAGTCAGGAGCTCAAGGCAGAATTATTTCATTGGCTGAGTTTGCAGCCACACATCGGTGTATGCATGCTTCAAGAAACGCATTGGTATTTCACGAACGAGTGGAAGCAGAATCAGTGGTTCATGTTTCATTCAGCATCCAACAAGCCTCGACAGGGCGGTGTTCTCATCGCTATCCGTGAAGAGTTAGTTCAGGAGAAGGAGCTCTGTTGGCAAGATCCAGTCCCAGGCCGAATGCTGCGCGTGCGGTGCCGCATAGGTCAGCAGCAAACAGATCTGATGAACATCTACCAGCATGCGTGGAGTCCTAAGACGGCGGAGCAAGCGCAGGAGATCATCAGACAACGAAAAGGACTGTGGAAGGAACTGGACAGTCACTTAAGAGCTTTACCGCTGCGATCGTCGATCATCATGGCTGGAGACTTCAACACAGTCTTAGAACCCTGTTCAGGAGTAGCTGGTTATGGAATACACAGTGGGAGTCAACAGAAGAGCATCAAGGAGGATCGCGCGTATCTTCTTGAGGTACTACAACGACACAAACTCTGCGCCCTCAACACTTGGAGCCGGAAAGCCTACACATACGAGCACCCACAAGGGCGCTCCCAGATCGATTACATTATGATCAGATCATCTGTGGCGGACGCGCAGGCGAAAACATGCAGCCCGACAAAGGCACCAAGTGCTGGATGGCGATCGTCAGGACATCAGGCTATGCAAGCGTCAGTGCCTGCTAAATGGGTTCCATGGCAAAGACGTAGCAAATTCCAGTCTAGACCGTGCGCCAGTGCTTTGCCTTCAGGGGTAGAACAAGCCTGCAATTTGTCTGAGCTTCAGGGGTGCATGCTGAGGGATCATCACATTATTGAGCGAAAGACTGGCATGCCTCAGCTCGCAGATATCGGGCCTCGCATCGAGGGCTATTGGGACCTTCTCCGGCAGCTCGCAGAGTCCCTTATTGACTTTGAGGATCTCAGACAATGCTGGCAAAGATACCGTCTCAAGATCCGCCTTCGCGCGGCGCATAAAGCTCTCAGACGTGAAGCTCTAAGTCGCAAGCGCGCTCGGGTGCTGGCTGTACTGGAGTCCGCTGAACAAGCCGCACGTGAAGGCAACAGCAGGCAACTCTATCAGCATATACGGCTGCTTGCGCCCAAAGGATATGCCAAGAAGATTAGATTTCGGAATTCTGAGGGCTTGATGATGTCTCGAACTGAAGAGTGCGAGTGCATGGTTCAGTATGTTCAGAAGCTGTTCAAAGGGAATGATTTTGCTGTTCCTGCTCTCGAACCGCTTCCGGAGCATTATTTTACTGAGGAGGAATGGCTCTGGGCGATCCGGCAATTGAAGTCACACAAAGCTGTACCAGTCTTTTCTGCTTCTATTGAGGGCTGGAAACAACAGGCACAACAGGTTGCTCCAATTCTTGCTGAGTTCTCTAAGTCCGCCCTTGCATGTCGGAGCCCCCGGCTGCCAGCTGAGTGGAGACAGGTGCAGCTGGCCTGGTTGACCAAACCTAATAAGGCGCCTCCGGCACCGGGCAATCTGCGTACAATAGGATTGCTGACTCCGGATTCAAAAGCTTTTCTGATTCTGATCAAGAAACAAGCCAATCCCTATGTACAAAGACACCTGTACGAGCACCCTCAGTACGCCTATCGCATCGGCACCTCTACCAGCGATGCATTACTGCGTGGGAGTCAGCACTGCCACACAGTAAGACAGGCTCTCGCTGCAGAGACCTCCGAACAGACTTCGCGTATCCTGCAACAGGAGAGGCCGGATCTCATTGGTGGGTTAATGTGCAGTCTTGACTTGGCTCAGGCTTTTGACTCGGTAGGGTATCAGGAGATGTATCTTGCACTACAAGAAACGCAGATGCCAGAATCTTTGGCGCGATTGCTGATCACCATTCATGCCGAAACCACGCTTCACATCCGGCATGGCGGGTTTTCTGGCACATGTCACGGGGTTTACGGCAAGGATGTCCTGTGGCACCAATGATATATGCTGCGTGGACCGCTCGTCTCAGCAGATTGCTCAACGAACAGCTCCATCAACATTGGACAGTCAAACACCTTAGCATCTTTGCAGATGACAAGCATGCTTTTTGGCAGATCCTTGATGTCCCGTCTTTGAGGAGGGCAATTGCGCAACTAAGAGTCATCATTG